GGGGGGGGACCTGAAGTGGCTACGGATGCCTCGAGATAAAACTCAGGGTAAATGGTATCTGTCTCAAGTCCTGCTGAAGGGGTGAGATGTTGCAGAGAATAAGCAAGCGCACTCAGTCAGTACCTTACTTGGGTGCGGTACTTACCTACGTGCCTGCCTGCCTAATTACCTACTGCCTACTACCTAGGTATGTAGGTATGCTGGACAACACGGAGGATGACGGGCGGGGCGGGTGATTGGCGGCGAGCTTTCTGTTTCTCTTCCCTTCCCTTCTAGTCTCGCGGGTAAAGTGTCCAACAGTCCCCAATACCAAAAGCAGTCGCCTTGATCACCCGGTTCCAAAGTTATCCAAAGTCACTACCAACCCCTCCATCGCCTCGCCTGCCATCAGCCAGTCAGTGACTGCAGTAGCGTGCGTGGGAGGGGGGAGGCCTGGTCCTAGATGTCGACCGGAAAGGAAAGGCGAGGCCAGGCCAGGGCCAGGATGGATTCGATTTGGGGTGAGAGCTGAACAGGCCGGGCTGGCTGGCTACCTGAGCCATCGGGATGGATGGCAGCGTTTGTAGCAGGGGGTTCGAGGCAAGGAAAAACTTCCTCGTCAAAGACCTGGAGACTTACGAAGCAAGCTCCCACTGGCTTCTGCTCGTCTCTCCTCTCCTCCTCTCTCCTCTACTGCCTGTTCTTCCCAGTTCTGCGAAGACCAGGCATGCACCTGCGTCTGCGTCTGCGCCTGCACCTCACCTGCATCTGCCCCTCTTGCACCTGCAGCAGCACATTACTGAGGTAAGTCATCACCTGTTCCTACGAATACCCGCTCGGCCTCATGTCCCCCATGTCATGTGTGTGGCCGTGTCGTGTTGGAACTTTGACCCTCCTGCGTGCCTGTCCCAGTGCCCTCCTCCCAGTTCCTCAACTGTCAATGGCAGTACCGGGGCCCTTGAATGCTTGTCGTGCCCTGGATACATGGAGGCGACCTTCGAGGAACGGGTCAACTGGGTCGTGGACGACGTCAAAAGGTGGGAAGGCGGGGAAACATGGCGCCAGGGGCGGCGGGGCCAAGTATCGCAACGGTACCCCCGACTCTCCCGCTTTCCGCTTCCCGCTCACGCCCGGCCTCGGTCTTCAACCTACCTTACCTTACCTCCTTACATTACTTGCCCCTCCACAGTTCACTACCAGCTCAGTTGTCACTGTTCTTTCAACACACTGCAGCCGCGATCCATCATCCCACCCCGTCCTCCAAACACACCGCGCGCTGACGCCCCTCTCTCTAAGCGAGCTAAATTAGTCCCTACCTTACGGAGGACGTACTCAAGGCACCTTCCGTACTTCCATTGACATATGCTCCCGCCGTATGTCCGTCTCTGCAAACCTCACATCAGTTAACCGCAAGTCCTGAGCGCAGACAGATACTCATTCCCGCATCTCGCAGCATAAAACGTGAGCCGTTGAGAGTATCTATCCATGTGGTGTGGCGTGCAGTGACGTGCAGTGGCGTAACGTGCCTGACCCAGACGCATGCCTGTGTGACTTGCGCCGTCGGGTGTCTTTCTTTTTTGGCCCCCGGTTGCCTGCTTGTCTCCTTTCCCCGCGCCATTGGATGTTCATCATTTTCTCCTCCACTCGGCTCCGAAGCACGCGGCGGCTGGAGAGCAAAAAGTGTGTCCAATAGGCTGGCCTATTCCTGTACATCTAACGCTTACAATTCATGGATCTCTATAGGTATAGTTACCCTGCAAAAGTCCTGCCCTATCTACATTATCACTATATTAAACCTATAAAACTTACCCTTTTTAAATAATAATATAATAATTATAGAAATACTCTAGATTTAGAAAGATTTTTTCTAATATAGAGTTTAATAAACTATATATAATATATATTTCTTAGATTTAGAGTATTTTTTTATATAGAATAGAAAATTTCTAAAATAAAAGTTAATTTTTTAAAAAATCTTATAGTAGATTATAAAAGAGTTTATAGTGAGTAAAAATATTAAGGTTTAAGATTAATTATTATAGTATTTTTCTATATTATATTAATAATAACTAAAATTATAGAAAGATTATATAATATATATTTAATAAAGTTCTATGTAGTAAAAAATCCTTAAGTTAATATATTAAGTAGGTTTTCTATTATTAGTAGTAGAGTTTAGATAGTTTTATGTGGGATAGGGCAGGACTTTTGTAGGGTAACTATAGGTAGGGTGGATTGTGGTCCGTCTTGCTCTTATAGATGCATACACACACAGATGTGTTTACTCGTACAGCGGGAGAACGAACACCTGCTAGCAGTAGAACTTCGAATCGTTGGTGTAGCTCCTCAAGCCTTTCTTCGACCGTGGCTCTATCGTACTCACACACTTTATCGCGGCAAAGTAAGGAGAGCCGCTTTTGTGCCTATGGTGCACATTCCGACAGTTCGGACACACGCCAGCCCAACTAATGCTGTGGAACCAGCCATGCAAAGCGCGACCTTCTCTCATGCCCCCTCTTGTGACGCTCTCAGCTTGTGAAACACCCAATTGTAATGGCAATGAGCTGTATCCCCTCGCTCGATTATCGCAAAATGCCATGCGGAAGTACTACTAGTACGGTTCCAGTCGACTCGCTCTGTTTTCCTGAGCAGTGTATAATGACCGCAAGACACTTATGATGACATGCTTCAGGTCCTCCTGTTCGGTAGCGTTTTCACGCACTAGCGAGACATGCCTCTACCAAAACTCCCTTGACGCCGCTAGCCGCGCTTTTATTGTACACGAATCTCAACAAAGGTTCTTACGACTTTTTTAAGCACGTAGACGGGATCACCATGGGCCTCGTCGTTCGTTCATCCGCCCAACCTCAGAAGGGTGTGGTGGGAGGACTTCGGTCATTCCTGGCGCCATTGACCGGGGCCGAGCATCTACAACGTAGCTGACACCGTCTTCCGATGCATACGATGGTGGTCGCGGCCCGCTGCCAACCTCCCTAGAGTTCGACGGGCTGTCATTTGATGTCGCATTGGGATTGCGTTGCCAGTATATCCTATTGGGATCCACCCGCTGTATTCTCTTGTTAGTTGAGAACATTGGAAATATCCATGTTGCTGGCACATACCACACTCTCTCTCCATAGGCCGTAGGCTGGCGGCTTTGCTTTGGCTGCCTCGCTTACTTCGCCCTCCTCCTCTTCGTCACGGGCCAACACCACTCTGATCGGTTCCCGTGGGACAGCGTACCCTCCTGGAGCAACAAGCTGCGGCATTGGCGGCCTAGCCTCGTCGTCCGATCGCGGTCGAATGACGAGCATACATAAGCGAATCAAGCCGTGACAGAAAAAGATCGTTGTAAACAGAATGATGAGTATGAGAAGTACCGTGAATTCGCTACTGCGGATATTCTGTGTGAGAGACAGGGCAAGGTCTATGGAATCAGTAAGGCTATCCCAACAGCAGCATGAGGCATCACTCACAAACGGCTAATAACAGGGCGAGAAAAGTGCCTGAAATAAAGCACCGAAGGATTTGTGACCGCATGCGCCGCGATTTCACCCACGGCAGGCAAAGTAGGAACCTTTTCGGATGTCCATCGTGGTCCTCTTCTTGGTTTCGCTGCCTCCGTCGTCTGCGCCGCCTTCCCTCCTGTGCCATCTGTGCCAGATGCATCTCTGCAGGATCTGGCCCAGTGAACCTTCTTGTCAGTCTGCGGGAATGTGATCGAGCACGCTGGGCGACGGGAGATGGCGCCGCTACAGGAATCTGCGCAGCTCCCGCCCTGCTCATGTACGGTCCGGGAAGCGGATCGGTCGCCGCTCGACTTGGCAGTAGTTGTCCTGAGCTAGGCCGCGAGTTCGGGCCGTTGGAACCACTCGTCCATGTCCTCGCAAGATGCGGAAGATTCAGTCGAGTGCTCGGGAGTGTTGGGAGGCCTATATTGAAGCGCGGAGTCTTGGGACTGTCATTGTCGCCATCGTCGAGGCGCTGCATTCTGCCGCCGGGATGTCTTCTTGAGGACAGAGCAGGCCGTGTCCCAGGGAGTCGCCTCGGTTGAGATCGCGAATCTTCTTGCATTTCAGGCTGTGTTGATGGTCCAGCCAAGGCCTGTTGCTCAATATCTGGTCCATTCGAAGACCGTCCGCGTCGCAGAAAGTCCATGTTGGAGGGTCGAAGCTGATATGCAACTCTCGATTGAACGTTAAGAGTTAACTTCGCAATTGCCGCCGTTCAAGGTTCGTCATGCTTCGACAGGGAGGATAGCGGGAAGCGCGAGTCGGCGCCGTCTGTTTCGTGCTCCTCGTGTGGAGGCTGTCGACGCTGCCACAGATAATACTGCGACGAGGGGGATCCTTTGTTGTAGACGGAGCAGTTGGCGAGTCAGCGTCTCTCAGAGGTACGATATTGATGACCGTCTCGTTGAAGAATCGTTATAGCTGCGGTCACGGCCGGCTTGAGCAATGCCCAATAGTTAGGAGAAGAAAGTAGTAAAGGAAACAACGGATTGAGAGGGTGCTAGTGTGTCAAGTTCCAAGGGAGGACTGCCGGCGACTCAACGGCCTCGATCAAGGAATTCGACGGCTGAAGGGAGGGACACTCTCAACCGAGAAAAATGGGAAGCAGAGCAAGTATCCAAGAGGACAATGCTGGCAGCGCAGTTTAGCTTCCGGAGCCTGCTCTACGATGACCAGTTGAAATAAGAGATGGATTGGGAGATAGGTGAGCGAACGTAAACAGATGGTCAATGAAAAGAAAAGGATGAAAAGGAAGCCTGATGAGCGCCTGGCGCCGCCAACATGACGCTGAGTGAGGCAATCGATGAAGAGAAGACGGACGAGCTGGAAAAGAAAGGGAGATTGAGACGAGGAATAAGGTGAGGTGAACAAGGGACTGCCAGTCAGGCGTTGTTTCTCGGTGCGTCCGCAAGCCGTGCCTGACTTTGTGTAAGAGGAGGTAGATAGGTACGCCAGCCGGACGGACAGCCAACAGTTCGGTTCGCTAGGGGAGTTCGAGGCGAGGCACAAGCCGGCAAGTATTGGTAGGGTCTTGTCGACTATTGGAACGGAGGAGAAGGTCGGCCAAGATGGCGAGTGTTACTGGACAGACCAGAAAAAGAAACTGCGGCCGCAGACTCGGGGCACACAGACAGCTGTGACCAGTCTCATGGCAGGGCACCTGGGATTCTGTGACGTGGAAGGGCAGACAAAGAGGAAGAAGCGACCCTGGGCGACGAGGAGGCGTAAATACGGACGAAAAACAGGAGGAAACGTGCAGCTTCTGCGGCGTGGAGGACGGGAACATGTTGCAGCGCAATTGGACCCTTGCGCTGGCGAGGCTCAATTTCATCCGTGCCTTTCGCAGTGTCCCGGGCTCCCACTGGGCTCCTGCACAGCTCCTGCACTGAAGAAGAGATGGATTCGCCGTCACTTGTCGACTTCTGTGACAGCTCAAGTGTTGCATAATGGCCCAGGGGTAACCACCACCGGGGTCTTATTGGAGATGGAGAACACCAGATGTTTCGGATTGCACGGGTGCGAGGCGCTAAGCCGTTTCTGATCTGCCGCCGTCCACAACCTAGGTACCTCAGTACTAGTCCCGTCACACCCGACAATCGGTCCCGGGTTTAGGTAAATGCGCAGGGTACCTTAACTTCCATTGACATTTTAGCAGGGTCTGGCCGTGGACAGAGATTAGCCAACCAAAGACCTTTGATCCATTCATAGACCCATTTATTTGGCGCTTACCTATTTACAGAGGCAAGCGCAAAGCGTACAAGTGACGCAACGAGCAAGCGCGAGTAGGCAGGCGCGAGAAGGCAGGCGTAGAGGGCAAGTACGGCGTAGAGGGCTAGTGCAGCGTACCTACTTGTAGGAAGAGGCGACGACGGTTACAGGACTCTGATTGGTTAGAAAAGCAGCGCCCTGCGCTTTTACGCAGTATCTGATCCCCCGCCTACCAAAGATACAGTAGGTAAGCCCCCCAACTTGCCTCAGCATGGGGACCGTTGCTCAGAGCCCCCACTCGTAATCAGTGTCCTCCTAATGGAAACGTTGAGATAGGGAACAAAAGAAAAGCCCACAGGACTCAGAAGTAGTACCTAGGCGCCTCCAGCCTCCAGATATCCATGCCCAGCATAGAGTTCGAAGCACGGATGCGTACGGATCCTCGAGGAGGCGCTTACATAAGACAGGCGGTTGCGAAAGCGTCGTGTACCAACCTCAGGTAGACTTCGGGGTCTATGTACGAACACCTCAGATTCGTTGACAGTCAGCAAGTGCGCCATTTGTCTCATCGTCCAAGGTTGCGCCTGACCCCCTATCCCTCTCACACAGCTTTCGTCGTCACGCCCTGTTCCAGTCCATGAATAGCCCCCGGGTCGTCATATGTCCAGTTCGTGACTTCCGACAACGTCCAAAACTCATTGCTCAATAGAGGTTTTTTTTTTTTTTTTAACATACACAGATTTGCCCCTCCGAGCAACGAGAAAGGACAGGTTGGGTCCAGGTTGATACCTTGGCGTACCTTCATAGAGCGGTGAAGTCGTGGGCTCACAGACACTGTTGAAGTGGGCTATCGAATGACATTAGACGACGTTTACATACGCTGCAACGGTCAGTGAGTCTCTGCTCTCCCATTTCGCTGGCAAATACTTCAGAAATTCGGGTTAGCCAGAATCTGGCTTTCATACCGAGGCAGCAGTCGTCAGATGCTAAAGTTTAGTCGGCGGGCCTCGCTTGTGCAAGCTGAAGTAACGGGTACTTCTTCTCTTCATTACGCAATGAACCTTGCAATATCTCGGGGTTATTCCTGAAAGAATAGGATAGATACACCGGACGATAGTAGGATAGATACGCGTAGTTTACAATACACAGAATAGGGAACAAAACAAAAGTAGGATAGATACGCCGGACGATTCTCCAGGCCGTAACACTGGCCGGGAAATGTGCTTTTTCACGACTTCGTACACCAGCCCCAGCAACGGCGAGTTCAAATTGCCGAAATCGGCTCTTCCAAGGGTATCAAAGTAAACTCTCCCTGAGACGACCTGTGGTGTACAATCATGGATCGGTCTACTTGCCGCCCGCTATCTCCCACATGGACTTGCGGCTCTTCTCCGCCGAGTCATGTCCGAAACCTTGTTTACAACGAATGATCATGTTATCACTCATTGAAGAAAAGTCCACCCATCTTGCCCCGCCACCTCCGACCCTTTTGCTATTATCGCAATTACATGCTCCGAGATGCAAGGCAGGTGGACATATAATTCCTTCAAATTTGACGCTTCCACAAAGAGTTCATCTATGAGTTGCATCCTCCATGGCATGTTGTAATGTTTGCTTAACGTTCGGCGGCTTGTTCACCGCAGTTCTCACCGCAGTTCTCCGAGAAGCATGTTCCGATCAGATGATGCGGACAGTACTAAGAAAGGATGTCAGCATTCGTCTTGTGACGCCAGAAAAAACGCAGGCAGGAACGCATACCGATTGGCTCTGTGCCAGGCGCAAACTCAACACAATTGACGGTTCCCTTGTGACCTGGCAGCTTGTACATCAATTTGCCAGTCTCGCTAGACCAAATGGTCGCAGTTCCATCTCCAGAACCAACGGCCACCTTCTTGCCCTCTGGATCCCAGCTGGCACGGATGAGATTCTTTTCAAGACCCACAGACGCACCGTCAAACGTCCTGATGTGTCTCTCGGTTGGTGCGAAGGGCCGAATGTCCCACGTCCTTACCGTCGAGTCCATAGCAAACGAGAGGAGTGATTGAGAGTCTGGCGAAACCCTCAGAGAGGTTACCGTATCCTGGTGCCCAAGCATAGAGTAGATTACCGACTTCTTGCGCAAATCCCAGACCTTGATGTCGTTATCAATGCCTCCTGAATAGACTTCATTGCCGGCTTCTGACATGGCTACAGCTGTGATCGGAAACTCGGTCTGAATGTGATCAACCGCAGTCTTTGTTCTCGGGTCCCATAAGCCTATGGACCCGTCATCACTGCCGCTGACCAAGAGTTCTTCGCCTCTCTTGCTGATGTCCATAGCATTGACAATCTCTTCGTGGCCGACGTATCTTCGTATTCTGGAGCCGTTCTCCAGGTCCCAGCTCGCCAGGTGCGTATCCGCCGATGCTGAGTAGACAATTCTCGAATCCCGCGACCATTGAAGGTCCAGGATGGCGCCGCGGTGGCCGTTGAGGATTCCGTAGTTTTCACAATCGCCATACGTGCGCCACAGGACTTATCAGTCAGCCTCAAAACTTGGCTTTCCTTGCGGCAAGATGAACTCACGAATGCTTCTATCCATAGATCCCGAGGCGATAAAGTTGCCTGTAGGATCGAACCTGGCTGAAAAAATCTCCCCAGAGTGCCCAGTGAGCTCCATGACAGGGGCTTGTAGATTGCTCGTTCGTGGCGCCTATTACAGCAACGTTAGTCATGATTGAACGGTAAACGAGTCGCATATCTTACAGTCTGCACCAAGGCGTTGCTCTTCCCGGAACCATTGAGCCTCGCCAGTGCTCCCGTGGATGATCCCACGTTTTGACGCTTCACGATCATTTGGCCTGAGCCTGGCTCGTCAGACGCCGGCCTTTTTTCGGACATTTTGAGGATGTAGGGTGTCTCTCCGATCGAAAGGAGGTGCCGCTATCTTCAGGTCGATTTCGCGTGGGTTGATGCGCGCGTTGAGTGTTGCGATTGACGTTCAGTTGAATGAGCAGGAAAAGACAACATACGCAACGACTGTGATCATTGGCCCGTGCAACAACCTACCTACGTGCCAACGGATCTGGACGCGACGCGGAACGGAGCTTGCTTCTGCCGATCACCGAGTTACCCGCTCTCTAAGGTACCCGACGTACCTAAGTCCTGCTGGAGTGGGTGTCCCGGGCTCAGTTCAGTGGAGCTCCCGTCCAATCCAACCCGACCTGCGCAAGTCTACGGGTACAGTGCACCTCAAGGCGTAAGGTATGTGGATGGCAGGTACCTAATTAACCCTTCAAGCTTCTGATTGGCGCTTTTCACAGTTGACCCCGGTGTATCCATCTCAAATACCTAATCCACTGGCGCCAGACGTAGACCATCTACCATCAACACTGTGAACATCAACCACCCCGATACCAATGACAGCAAACATCAGGGTGCCCCAACACTCGCGCCTCACGACCACGCGAACTCTACGACAAGGCGATCCGGTGACGAGGATACTAGACCGGGCGGAAATCAGCCCCAATCAGACAGAGAGGCGTTGAATCGGCCAGATCATTGCCGACTTGATTGTCTGACGCCCTCACGAGGCTCGCATCGCTAAGCAACCTTGAGCTGTCGCACACTGACTGCGCAGCATGGCAGCAAGCAAGGCAACTCGCCTAGGTGAAGAGTGAGTATTCGGCCACGCATGCGGTTGACAGAGGCTAACAAGCTTTCTCAACAGGATCTGGAAGTACGTGAAGTCGCAACATTGCCATTCGAACCAGAATTGACCCTTTTCTTACAGAACACGCATCGACAAGGTGAATGCTGAGCTGGTGACTTTGACATATGGAACAATCGTCGCCCAGCTATGCAAGGACTATGACAGCGACTATGTGGAGGTAAACAAGCAGCTGGACAAGATGGGTTACAATATCGGCCTCCGTCTGATTGAGGACTACTTGGCCAAGTCAAATACAATGAAGCGGTGCTCGAATTTTCGCGAAACGGCAGATATGATTGCACGAGTATGTGCATTCCCATCAAGAAAAAGACTGTCTAAATGTTAATCACTGATGAACGCTAGGTTGGCTTCAAGATCTTTTTGAACATTACGCCCCAAGTCACCAACTGGACGACGGATAACAAACAGTTCTCGTTGGTATTTGACGAGAACCCGTTAGCAGACTTCGTGGAGCTGCCCGATGATGGGCGCGCGCAGGACGAGCTGTGGTACTCGAACATCTTCTGCGGTGTGTTGCGCGGAGCTTTGGAGATGGTGCAGATGCAGGTGGAGGCGCACTTTATCAGCGATGTCCTGAGAGGCCATGACACGACAGAGATGAGGGTATCGCTGATTCGATACATTGACGACGAATTGCCACCAGAAGACGACTGAGCGGTGCAAACCTTCACATGACAACACCAATTGTCCGTAACTCCGGCTGCGATTACTGGGTCATGGCCTTCGCAGTCGTGGTCTCGCGGTTCCTCTCAATTAAATTACCTGTCTGGGACGAGGAAGAGCCTTCGAGGAGCAGTCGAGATGATCAACCTCAGTATCAACGTAATCCGAATGTGCATACGGTGGAATTTTCAATGACAATTCTGTCGGCTCTATTGAGACAGGCACCCTAGCGTCTCAGGCTTTCGAGATAAACGTAGCAAATGCAATAGTGCTCTTGCAGCATTAGGAAGAGACGATGGCTCGGCTCTCAACGACCCACAGTGGGCATTTACCGGGAACATATCTGAAGAGCGATGCGGGAGACATGTGACTGCAAGCAGGAAGTGATAGTTGTGAGAATGGAAACAATCTTGGCGTCCAATTCGAGGCCGCACTTTGAATCCGTACCAACGCCGGGTTTGCGGTCGCCCCGGGCCTATATCCACGTTGGCGGCAGACAACGGGAGTTAATTTTGACGACATGGAGCAACGTCCAGCTACTGCTTTAGACAATCCCATTGCTACGACTTGGCGTTGACACAACATACTGATCAGCCGAATGGGCAGACAGACGGCAGCTAATCTAGCGGTGCATTGCCACTGTATCAATTCCAGGGAGGGCATATTGCGGAGTTAGGCGACGGACTTCGATGAGTGTATCGGCCGGTGTCGGCCGAAGTGGGGAGAGGTCCCCAAGGGTTCGGGATGCCGCCGTAGTTGGGTCTAGACAGCCTGAGGGAGACTTTGAAGGGGATAGATGATCGGGACGATGCGAAACGGCAACGGGAAAGTCACGGGCGGGATGGCGACATTGAGCGAAGAGAATCGGCCTGCCTCGCCTGCTCCGAGGAAGTCATTTCGCATAGTTGGCGACATTTCGAGACTCCAACCAGTCACAGTGTCGCGTTGGCTCGGAGCTGGCTAATGCAATAAGAAAAAGGCCCGTGCTTTGCGCGACGACAATTTCAAGTAAATAGCCATCAAGGGCATCAAAGGTTGAGAACGACGATTGTGCGCTGGGGTAAAGTCCTTTCATGATTTTCGAAGTGAGCCCTGTGGTTGGGCCATCGCAGTGTGCGTACGGTTCTTCCGGTATTGAAATGTCCTCGCAAATAGGTGTCCTATGGCCCTGAAAAGTCGCTGGCGATGCAGGGTACGTAGGTTTCTCTCGAGACCGGTTGGCGTATATGGGAGTGGCTGCAATGCGACGGCATGGAGCCTAAGATAGGTAAGGTGATACTCCGTATAGTAGGGCGGGCAGTGTTTGGCCTTTAGTTTATCGCAATATAGTGGGAGGTCATCTTGGGTCGGGTGAAACTTTGCACAGCGGATTTATTTCCAGCAGCCTGGCGCGTCGTCGCGTCTCGCTTCACTGAGACCGATAATGAAGCGGTTGGAGCTTCAACCACGATGCGACGTCGAACAGTCAGTACGTGGGTCGATGAGGAGCCTGCGTGCTTTAGCGAGGTACCCTGTCATAAGCTCCCGTCAGTGTCGACATCTGGGACGTTACCTATTCATACCTACCTTTAAGCACGAATACCGTCTGTGTAAGATGATAGGTAAAGAAGGTATTAGACAGTTTACAGCTACAGTGCAGTTGGCGGGCCTATCGACTAGGTAAATACACCGTGTATCTTGATATATCTGTAAATTTCCCCTTCTTTGAGGTCTTTGTAGCCTTTTTTTGCCTTTGACACAACGTGCTTTGTGCCTCAGGCCAGAACGTGCTCAGAAGTTCGCGCCTCATTCTCAGGTGTACCCGCGTTTTCCCGCCCCCAAACTGCTCTGACGACCACCCAGCTCCCAGTTCCAGGTCTCCAGACTCCCCCCAAATCTGCCCAAGCGTCCTGGGCGAAAATTAGGAAAATCCCAACCCCATCCTTTCCACCCGTCGCTCGTCCTGCCTCTCTCCCCTTCCATTGCCTTGCCTTGTCCATCTCGCGCCCCTCTCTTTCACCTTCCTCTACCCTCCCGTCCTCTCCCCTTCCTTCATCAACTAAATCCCCCCTGGGGGCCTCGCATGCCGAACACTTGCAACTTGGCTTTAGACACGCGTCACTTGCTCAGTTGATGGTTTCGCCCTTTGCCCCCGAACCATTTGTCGATTTCGCAGTTTTGATCCCGCCTTATCGGTCTAGCGCAGCGCTGCAGGAGAGGGACGACTGCGACTGCTTGTAGAGCAGCAAGCTGGTCTGGCAGGATCGACGACGCCAGAACAACCCCCCCCGGGCCCAAACCAAGAGCCAAATCCCAAGACCCAGAGAAGACACTCAGCACCCCAAAGAAAGCCCCCGACAGAGCTTCTCTTCCGACATCCGTTCTCCTGTCTTTCCACACTTCCCACTACTTGCATCCCTCAGACTAATCCCACTCAATCCACACTTGCTCTTCTCCTGCAACCGCCATCTCTCGCTCTCGCCCTCTCGCTCACTCTCCTACACAAATCCTCGTCTTCCTATCGCCATACCGCATCGCCATCGACCTCGCCACGACGGAGCTAGCAACGATCGCGCCCCTTCTCCTTTCCGACTGCTCTGCTCTTCTCTTCACTTCCTTTTGTATCTCCGATCGCGAGCCCTCGCCCTGCGTCGCGACCATTCATCCTAGAGGCCCCTGCCCCCTAGTGGCCTACCGCTGAATCCGACACGCTCCTGTCGGTCGGCTTTTAGCGCACCGCGTGCCACGCATCCAGCGCCTCTGAAGTGGCTGACCGAAAGTTTTTCGACGACCGCGATCTCACTTTCCACCGACCACCACCCCCGTCTTTCAACCAACCTTTCCCTTTCATCATCTATCGCATCGACTTCTCCTCTTCTAGCCGGGCAGACAACTGTCTGCAGCCCGGCCCACCCTCTTCACCATGAACGTCAACGTCAACCCCAACATGGCCAACATGAACGCCATGGGCGGCCCTGTCGGTGCTCCCGTGCCCATGATGAATAATGGCGCAGTCGCTCCTCAGGTCGCTGGCCCCCGACAAATGCCTGTTCCCACCGAGAGCCAAAGAACTTTGCTCAACACCTACATTTACGAATACTTTCTCCGCCACCAAATGTTCGACTGCGCGCGATCGCTTGTCAACGGAGATCATCAAATAAACGTCACTAAGGATGGTGCGAATCGACGGAGGGATGAGAATGGCAATCTGCTTGGGAATGGCTTGGGTGACGATCCAATGGATACCGACTCCAAGGATGACATTGACGCGAAGCTCCCTGACGATCTCCCCGCTCCCAAACTGCCCATGCCTGCTTCCGAATCATCCTTCTTGTACGAGTGGTTCTGCCTGTTCTGGGATATTTTCAACGCGCAACGTACCAAGGGCGGCAACGGCCCTGTGAATCAATACGTCAGCCACACCCAGGTACGTGTTTTCGAGCTCATGCGGTTCCCGGCTATTTCCCGGCTTATGCTAACTCGGTTTGCAGCAACAATCCCGCATGCGCCAAAACCAGCAGCAGGAGCTTCTCCGTCAGATGCGCCCCGAGGGCCTGGCCGCTCAGCAGCAATATCACAACCAGATGATGCGCAACATGCAGAATGGTGGCATGGCCATGAACATGAAGCAGGGAAACCTCGCGCGCACAGCCATGGCAAACAATCAGAACAAGTGAGTATTCTGTTCGCAACGGCCCATGATTCAGCCCCGAAGATGTAGCTAATAGATTATCGTACTAGCCCCCAAGCCATGCAGATGCTTCAGCATAAGCAGACCCAAATGCAACGCGACCCGTCTGACATGGAGGGAAACCGACAGCGCCCCTCCTCGCCTGGTTCTGGCGAAAATGCTCCTTCACCCTCAAAGCGACCTCGCCTGGACGGAACGCCTTACAACCCGAGTCAGCCTGGGATGATGCCGAATGGGAGACCACAGCAGGGCATGCCAGGCCAGCAGGTGGGGACCGCCCCAAACGTAGCTCAAGCCCAGCAAATGCTCATCACCAACGGCATTAACCCGGCACAGCTGACCCAGCAGCAGTTCACGACATTTTCAAACCAACCACCTGCTGTCCAAGCGAAGTCCATTGCCACATACGCTGCGAACCTGCAGCAACACCAAGCCAGTCAGATGCCAAACAAGCCTATGCCTAATGCGGCCGGTCCTCAAGGTCAAGGTTCCCCTATGATGGCACAGGGCCCTGATCAAGCTGGGCTGGCCGCATACTATAACGCCGGCGAGATGCCTGCCGGCATTCGACCTGGCCCTGGCGGTGCCCAGGCCGGCGGTGGAAGTAACCACGCTCTGCAAGATTATCAAATGCAGCTAATGCTTCTGGAGCAGCAGAACAAAAAGAGACTCATGATGGCTCGACAGGAACAGGACAGCATGGGTGGTGCTATGCCAAGAGGAGACGGCCCTGCCGGCCCTGGCGGTCCCGGTGCTCCTCCAGGCCCCAACGGCCAGCCATTCCCTGAGACTTCCCCTCAAGGTGCTAGGACAGGAGCCTCGCCCAATCCGACAGAGCAGATGAAGCGTGGTACGCCCCAGATGAATAACGCGGGCATACCTTCACCCTTGCCGGAGGGCGCCCAGTCTCGAGGCTCCCCCAATCCCATGAACTTCATGGGCAATCAGATGGACCCCAACATGGCACCCCACTTCTTCAAGGGCATGGCGAATATGGATGGGAACATGGTGCCAAATCCTCAGATCAATGGCATGCGCCCACCTAGCTCGCATCCAGGCCAGACCTTCAATGGCCAAATGAACCCTCAACAGATGATGGCTGCGAGACAACAGCAACAACAGCAACAAGCGGCTCAGCAGCAGCAGCAAGGTCAGCCTCCGCAACAACAGCAACAGCAGCCTCAACAAGGTGGTCAAGGCAATCAACCTGTGCAATGGCAAGGAGGTCCGAACGGCAACCAGATGGTACCTCAGGGCCCTCAAGGTCAAGTCCAGGGCACCCCTCAGCAGCGATCAATGCCACCACCGTCTGCGCCTGCCGCTGCGAACGCAAACCGTACAAACACCTCGTCCCCTCAGCAAGCAACTGCAGCTCCACCCACTCCTTCGCAAGCCAATAAGGCCGCGCCGAAGAAGAAGGATAACAAGAACGCAAAGGCCAAGGTAAGCACAACAAAAGCCTATGAGAATCATCTAACAAATTCACAGGCTGCCACACAAAAGAAGTCAAACCCCAATCTCAACAGCGGAGCCACGCCGGCGGCTGATGGCACTCAAGACCAGGAGCCGCCAACCCCGGCGACGCCCATTACTCCTGTCAACCCCGCGAGCTTCAAAGCTGGCCAGAACGCGCCAGTTTCCGCCGTTCCCAATGGACAGCCTCCAGCTCCCGCAGCCGCACCTGCGCCCCAGGTCGCTCCTCAAGCTCACTCGGATGCCAACCAGAACGGATCGTTTGGCATGGACAGCACGAATGGCATGGTCGATTTCGGCGCCATGGCGTTTGCGGACCCTCTCGTCTCCGATAACGTCCTAAACGATTTCGATTTCGATTCGTTCTTACACGAAGATGGTGATAATCAAGCCTTTGACTTCAATACCGGCTCTTTCGGCATGGAGGGTGCCAACGAGATCGGCGCAGACTAGGTGTTCAATTGAGACTGTCATTGCGCGCGTTTGTAGCCAAGAGTAGTTCGACGATACGGTGACGGTGCAGGCTGTCGCTTCGCGCCTCGCAAACTCCGCCATTCGTTCCTTGGATGCAGCTACAACGTCGACAAGGTGTTGTTTGTTTCAGTGACAACATTTCGGTCGGAATACCATCAAACAAGCTCCCTGGCTACGTGGACATGGGAGCGGCATTTACGCCAGTTGATTCATCTACAAGGGCAGTCTTTTGACCCCCTGACCAACCCAAAAAGAAAAAAAAACCATTCCCAACACATGTGGTCTCTGGACCATTCACATCGTCGTCACTCAGCCTGACAGTTTTCCTTATTTGCTACTATTCCTCCACCTACCACCTGTCGACAACATAGGCAGCAATGGTTCTGGTGTTTGTTATCTGGCGGAAGTGTGGTGGATGGGCATAGTCAACGTCCTCCAACGCCTTTCAAAACAAAGGCGGTCTTAATTCACGCGTGCATCTGCCTGGGGTAACACGCATTCAACCTCAACAAGGGCCTTTGAGCTAGCTGTCACCACACGAGCTTCTCCTTGGCTGTCCTTGGATCATTGGTTCTGGAGTTCTACGGGCCGGTTTCGCTAGTCTTTTTCAGGTGCCTACTTCCTACCTCGAACAGTTGGGCGAAATCATTGATTACATGCGGCATACGAAATGAGATTGCGGAGCCCGGATATTACTTGGAGTGAGAAAGTTCGCTGGACCATGAGTTTCAACTTGTGCAAAAGAGAGGAAGTCCAAAAGGGGGCAGAGTTGCTGTCCGTGGTTGAGTATGAGAGGAGCATTGTATTTATTAGAAGGTTCAGGGCAACATCATACCGTGTCCAGCCGTCGTCGTTCATCCTAGGTCTGTCAGATTACTGTGGCGTGCGGAATGGTATTGGCTTACGAGGATCAATCCATATTTTTTCAGCTGTTCGAATATTGATATCAAACTAAGCAGAGGCATCTCGTCAACGGTGACTAGTGCTTGTCAAGCAATCCGGAGAACGCGGGTGTACGCGAGGCACCATGCGAGTTGTATGTTCAAGGTAGGTATGTCATCTTGAAAATATATTTTTAGCCATTAACCGTCATGGACTGATCGGTCGTCGATGAGGGGGAAACCTGTTCGCGGACCGCTTCCGGGTGCTCAACTGACAGTGCCCGGTGTTGAAGTAATATGGAAGGGACGGCCTAATTTTCCTGCTGCTTTTCCTTTCGTGGCATAATCCACCTTACCGTCGACGTCGCCGCCGCCGTTATTGCCATTATTATTATTTTCATCATTACTTCTACTAACGTCTTTGATAGCAATGCCACAATAGGCTCAGCACTACCAATCCCCGCCTCCTACGCGTTGTTATATGCTAGCTCACATAGTCTACGACCAAGAGCAGATTCCATGTGTTTGACGCAGCAACGACACGAAGGGAACTTCGCGCGTCGGGCGTATCGATCCCGTGTTCCTGAAGCCAAAGTAGAGAGAGCTAGAATCAAGTCGCATCACGGTTTACGTTCCATAAGTTGGGTACTCAGCGCAGCCTGAAGAGAATGCCACTTGATTCATCATCTTGGTCATATATCTGCCATCACTCTGCGATAGCATCTAGACCACTGATATTTCGCCCTTTAAATAACAGTCTTGTGTCGGTCACATACCAAAAGCCTGGGCTCTTTCAATCCACGGGAGGGAAGGGTGGACTTAGTTCGGCCACTGCAAGAGAAAACGCTGTTGAATGGGGGTATCTACTATGAACGGAAGCGCCATCGCGCGTACTTGAGTGAAACTGCGGGCAAACGTCACCGATATGGCGTTGTTATCTCGAGGCTCTCGTCAAGATTTGGTCGGATCGCAGAGCGCCCGCAATGCGCATCCAGTGTACACAAGCAAGCGTGATTGAAAGCGGTCGAGAGAAGTCCAACATGCGGCACGTCCTTGACGTGAGGACACGCGGGGGCGAACTTCGCTGAGGAAAGCTCATGCCGTCTCGTAAACGGCGAGATATCCAACCTCCATCATGCTACCATAGCCATCCTGAGTAGCGTCGGTAGGGTTACCCGGGAGTGTACCACCTATACTATGTTAGTTGGGCGGCTCAAATATGGCCGAAAATGATTCAGACTTACCAACAGCGACGTTCATGAGCACGTAGTAAGGGGCATGGGCGAGCGTAGCCCAGATCGACTCGTCCCCAATATCAGCACCGGTCAGCGTGTTGAAAACAACGCCATCGCGCATCCAGGTAATAGTCTCGGTGAGCCAGTTGTTAGAAGTACGGTCCCACTGAAGACTCCATGTGTGCCAGTCATTATCCGGGATCGAGGTAGCAACTCCACGGCCGCTGGGCTCGTTGCAGATACCGCCAGACTCTTGTTGGCAGTGGACGGTGCCCGTGGCAGACAGCTGGCCATTGACCTGTTCAAAGATATCGAGCTCGCCGCAGAGAGGCCACTGCGTACCGTGACGGACGGCATCGCCCAGCATCCAGAAGGCGGGCCAGATTCCCTGCTTATTCGCGTTGGCGCCCATTCTGAACATGGACTGGACACGCATCAGTTTGCCGGGTTGAGGGGTCCACGAGGCTTTGGTCTCTATGCGGCCTGAGGTCCAGACGCCATTGGAAGATTTGCGGGGGATGAATTGGATAGTCTCGCCGCCGGAAATTTGAAGGTTCCAAGATGAGTCGGTGTAAGTCTGTACCTCGTTGTTGGTGTCAATGGCTAGAGTGATGCCCCAAGTGTCGCTTCGGGGAGGCGCGCCAGCGTTTCCTTGGAAGGTCTCTGACCAGATGATGTTCATGCCGTCCACGGCCGGGGGGGCGAGAGCCCTGGCAAAGGGCACAAGTGCCAGAAGAAGAGTAGTGCTAAGCATCTCTGATGTTGTGAAGTGACGTTTCAGACTTGAGGACGATATCGAGGGAGAAATTGATAATTATCGATTCTGTGGTGTTCTCGTCGTACTGGCTTATAATGCTGACAAGCTGTAAATATCCAAAAGAAGGAATGACTGGGACGATGTACGTCGTGTGAATGAATGTAAGTGAAGTGATCACCAAGAAAAGAATGTAAGCGGCGCTGTAGGCCAGGTCAGGGAATGTGGAACTGAAGGCGAGAAGGCAACGAAAGACATTCTGCTGAATGGAGGCCAGAGGCCGGACTGAGTATATATAACAGATAGGAGTGTGCAGTTTGCACAAAATCCTTGCCGGTGGACAAGAAAGTGGGCGGCAGCAACAAGGGAGGTCTCCTCGGTGCTGAGAACCAGAGAGAGCAAGCGGGCCACAGAGACAGGGAAAAGAGCTCGCTCACCACTCATGGGCCATGGCAATCCTCCGAAGCAGTATCCATAGCCCGAGGCTGTATGCCGTAAGGCAGAAGAAAGAAATTGGACGTGGGGAGTAAGGATGAAACGCCCAGAATCGGACAGCAACACCCTTCAGTGGCGGTGATGGTGGTCCGCTTGGCTCTCTGGGGCTCGACTAATCACAAGTTCTCGTTGCAGCCGAAGTCCCAAGAATGGTAGCTTCGCGGCGCAAGTGGGTTGCGTGTAGGTAGGCAGATGTGGGTAGTACCAGGGCCGACGAGCAGGGCCAAGTCAAAGGCAGGGACAGCGAAGACCATACCAACATATGCATATAGTCGAGTTGGTTGGTTGGTAGTTGGCCACCACTATCGCAGTGACTCTGCATTGTACCTGCGCAGCTGCGTGGCACCAAGAAGCTCCTATCTTCCCTCCCTGACATGGTAAAGTAGAGTACCGTCTAGATACCTTGCACAACAGGGGCAGCTCATGACGGGAGGTGGCTGATGAATGGAAGGGAGTGGTGATCTGCGCCATGAGAGGGGACCCCAGCGGCCGATGAAGGTCGGGACCAAGGACCAAGAGGGAATTGCGGAAGTGTCGGTGCAATGTGAGGGCACAAAACGGGCAAAAGGGATATTCAAGCCTGGAAAGCCACCCAGGTTGAGGTAGCAGGGGGCGCAGAGGACTGAATGATCATGGATTTGCATGATATTGGCATGGACGGGGGAAAGAGACGGGACGACTTAGGATGTTGATTTGGGGGCCTCCGAGCCAAGGATCGACTCCCGCTGCTGCGTTGGCCACTGATAGATCCCATTTCATAAGGAGAAAATAAAAGGGCATAAGCTCAATCCCCACCACTAGCTGGGGATTGGGGTGTGATCCGTCCACTTAAGAGGAGGAAAATTCTGGAGGAGAAAAAAAAAATAGGAGACGGGCAGAGTCAGTCAGACTCGTTCGCCCCGAAGCCCCTCAGAAGGAGAAAAGGGGTAGGCTCGGCGATTGCGCATCGGATATGATCTCTCTTGATTGTGTGCCGTGACTGCTGAGAGGAGGGATGGGGAGCTTGGTCAAGCGCGCTGAGCATACACTGACAATACCACGGGTTTCTCGTGTCCTCCAACTCTCGAGGCACATCGGCATCGCATCTAGCCCCTGGGATCCCATGGAGGAGGTGTTGGATGTGACAGAAGGGTAGCGTGGGGGGGGCTGCCTGATGTGGATGGCCGGTGTGCAGGCGGGGACACGCCGCCGCGAATTTCTCAGTGCGAAAGATCGGATCGCTCAAGTGTAATGCCCCTGCCGCTATACCTATGACTCTGTACGAATAGTGGCGTAGCCTGCCAGCCTACCCAGCCTTACTTGGGCCGGCAATGCATGTTCTGAGACAGGACTGACAGGGTTTCTCCGACAGGGGCAGGCTGGTCCGCGGCAACACTGGACGAACCAGAGGAGGCCAACAATATCGGGTAAAGGTGCCGCAGCACACCGCAATGCGCCGCCAATGGACGCGGCACTGCCCAATTCCGCACCAGAGACCCGGACCGACTCCGTTCAAGTGCCGCATTGGAGATCGGCCGCTCAGTCTGTAAAAGCGGAAATACCCACTGCCTCCCACACGCCTTTTTTGCCCCTGCACGTAGTATACATTCGTGATGGCCACGTAGAGTACGTCAGCATGTCAGCCAAACTGACCACACTATCACGGACGCGGAGCGTGGAAACCAGGTAGTCGAACTTCCGCGAAAATCCAGGAGATAAGCGAGTCGCCTCCACTGAGATACACCACGTTAAACCGAGGACATGGTACCGTGGATACAAGGACGATGGGGAAGCGGGAGGTCCACGCCTGAGACATTGCCCCCGTCGCTGAAAGTCGCTGGCTTTGTGAGGCTCAGAATGGCGGAAACAAACTGTCATTCCCCAACCTGGACGAGCCCGAGCCTCTTCCTTCCAGTTCATATTACACCATCGTCAAGCGCGTTCTGTGCGCTTGATCCCGTGAATAGATATCTAGCTCTCTTCCAAGGCACGTAGGTCAGCATCTTGATCTGTTTCATGCACAATTAACTTGGCCGCTTCCTGTTTCTGTACACTGTTCTAAACTTTAGACTAGTTCTAAGCAAAATGTTTGTTCAGGCTAAACACTCGGGGTATGAATTCCCTACATTACTAATAATGAGGTATCCGGAACCTGGTGATGGAGTGTCTCTTGTTCAGCATTGGCCGCCATTTAGTATCTGGTCTGGCTGAGGAGTTGCGCCGAGGACATCCCCGAGCTTTTTGCCAAGTTGGACGATTGTGCGCTCGTACACTCGCGCGACGTCCATATATAGTCTGTCGTCATCCTCATCCCAAACCAACCCGGCGCGATCGTCGCTTTCTGCTTCAGTGTCGAAGTCTTCTTCCTCTTCGCCGTCGTTGTCTGGCTCTCTGCCAAGAACTTCGACAATCACTAGTCGAGTATGCTCTACGGAGCTTCGACAGCGGACCATGTCGGTGGTGGTCATTCCTGCCCTGAGGCCGTTCTCAAAACCGGGCAAAGGGTCGCCAGTGTCGATGTCTCGGCCAGTCAGAAGACTTGCGAAACAATGGTCGAGCTTGGTGAGAACAGAAAACGTAGCTCTCGGAGAGGGCGGGAAGGCGACAATCCATTGAGTGAAATCGCCAGCGATATTCAAGAGGAAGGGGATTTGCAGGCCCGCTACGAGGGGATGTGTCAGTCATAGGAGAACATGAAGCGTGCGGGAACACGTTGGCCTTCACTAACGTGTTGCGGAGAGCCAGAGAACATCGATGACGCCGTGAAGGTCTTTGCACAGCTCTGCGAAAGTCTTGTAGCCGACAACATCGTCGCCCGGCTCAGGGTTGCCGTGTTTCTTAACAAAGCGACGGTTGACTACTGCCAGTCGTTCCCCAACGTATCGGCGGACTGTGTCTTCTTTACTCGATCCTGGCCGCAGGGATTTGGCACGAGGATGGGGGAGGCACGCACTAGAACGGGTAGATGAGCTGCTGGGAGCTGGTGAAGGGAGGGTATGCGAGGGGAAGAATCCCCCCGGACCGGGTTGCGAGGTGTCAGCCATGTTTGAAAGGTATACGCACTGGCTGGGTCAGGGTCGACAAAGTTCGGCGCATCGTCAGGACTGGAACATAGCTTTATACCGTAGGCGTTTTTGAGCTTGAAGGTAAGGGTAGCACTCGAGCAATGAGAAGCACCGGGTAGGTAGGTTGATAGAGGTGGAATCATCTCCGCTCCATCAGACGTACGGTTTACGCTCACTATCCGTACATAGGTACCTTACCTAGTAGCCCACCCACCACAAATTCAGAATGGTGCCCACATTACCTAGGTAACACCTGTCCCTTGGTAAGCATTACTGGACCGTGCGTCACGCCACACCTTGACCACTCAGCAGTGGCTTTGCCGGCGAGATAGCGCTAACGTAAGGTGGCTCGTGTGGTGACGTTGAATCAAAAATTTCCGCTGCGACAGAGCTCCATCGCAAGCACCAGTTCGATATCGACCTCCAACTTCACAAAGCGACTGAGTGTGGAAAGCCAAAACACATCTCCCCCGCCGACGAGAAATTTTCCCCGGCCGTCAAACATCATTGTTGTCAACATGCCTCCTAAGAGAATTGTCGTTGAGAGAGCTGGTGGCCCCCGAACTCGTCAGCCCAAGGGTTACTTCAGATCAACCTATGATGCCCTGACTTCGTCAGAGAATGCACCTATCGTGCGTAGCATCGCCATCTTCGGCGTAAGTACTACGCCCACCAACTTTTCTCAGGCACGCAACGAACTGACCATGTCCGCAGGCTGCCGTAACTTTCCTCTCGAGCTCCTGGGGCGAGTTCCTCCTTCCTCCGTGAGCAGTCCCCTGGTCACCTACCTGTTATTGTCCAGCCATTCTTACTCTCTCTAGTCAATGAAAACCTCATTCTCTCGATTGCCGAATGACGATCCATGTATAATCACACCTTCTTATTGCCGCAAATGCTGGCTGTACAATAGTTCGAAGACGAGTAGCCTCGAAGCTACTTCACGAGGAACGGCATACGTGGGTCGGCTTAGTACTCGAACCCACGACTTGCGCCCTCTGGGCCAATGAATCTCACTCTGATGCGCAAACTTGGCTTCAAGTTCCAGAGCCTGTCTCGATGTGATGTTGTGTGCGGGCACGGTATGGCAACTGCGAAGAGGCCAAACCGTCTAGGATCGTTATCGTTCTCTTGCCTATCACAGCACAGCTCGCAAGGAGAATCAGCACGGCATCAGCTACAATCGGCAAGGGTTTCAATGAGGAAACAAAGGCAAGTTTGCAAGCTTGGTCTTCAGGTGGCCGTATGCGGCATTACAATTAATTAGGTAGGCTTAATCGCGCAAAATATTTCCCTAAAATTGGGGCTAGGACCTGCCCGCCTCTTACATCAACGCCGCATTCTGGCAAGTGCCATTGCACTTTTGGTAAAGTGACAGCGCTGCGTATCCACCACACACGTCCGCCGTGCTGCCGGGACACGGCATCTCGCAACTGCCGAGGAGGCCCTTTTTGGGCATCCGATCTGCTGCCACTGAATTGCCACACCAACACTCCTTGGCGTACTCCAGCCCAGCATACTGGTATCCCCGGTCGTTACAGTATTTGATGCAAAAGTCGACGGTCATGGTGTCTGACGTCTTCCTGGCGGGAAGCGTACGACCTTGGCCTGAAGGATCACGAGCGCAGCCAAGATATTTGAATTTGAATGTGCTCGTAACATCCTTAAAGCCCCATTGAGGCTGCGAGATCTGTGTTGTTGCGCCGCAATTTGACTGCGGTTGTGCGTTCGACGGACCTGCTTGTACCGGGTTGCAACCAGGGAGGGCATCCAGTTGGCCGGAGACTTGCTCATTCACTTTTACGGGCACTCGACACCCTTTCCTCGTCTCGTCATCGAAGAATTGAAAGACGCTGCACTTTTCGAGAGAGCCACTGTTATCAGTGCACTGCTTGATTGCAGACTGGAGTACGTCGATATCCCATCCATTAAGGAAGTCACCGTGGAGACCGTATCCGGTTGGGTCACTGGACAGCGTCAGCTTGCATGATCTTCACGCGGGACAGACGAGTAGTGCATACCCATTAGACAAAACGAACGGTTGCTTGTCCCCATACCATTGGTCTTTAAAGTCGGTGACCTGGAAGATAACCTCATAGAATAGACTAAATCGTTAACTCCTCTGACAAAAGGAAATTCTCATTGAGAGGGGGGGAACCGTACGTTACAAGTCTCTTGGGATGGGATGTCGGGCATTTCCCAGTGCTCACACCACTTGGATATGCCATGTGGCTTTTGTGATCTTGTGAATCGACATTGAGGCCGTCCCAGCATGATGGGAAGACAATTTGGACACGCAGCCCGTCAGGACAGTTGCGGTTGGGGAACTCATTCGTCTGAGGGCCACTATTGCCTAAACAGACATATGAGATGGCCTTCTGCTCCAGGCTGCTCTCATTGAAGCTGCGCAACCTTGGGTCACCTGCTAGCATCCGAAAGCCCTTTGGGAAAGCGAGAAGTCCGTTGCTATACTCTGGATCCTTTGGATCCGACCTCAGTCTGGATGAGAAGAAAGGTCAGTCTTGCCACACATAATTCTTTCCCGATTGAGAGATTCCCGCTTACAGATAATAAACGAGCATTCCCCCAGCCTGTCCGACGCTCGTGAACTTCCCGTTCTGTCCCCGATAATACAGACTTGGTGTCCAATAGTTGCTCAAGTCGGCAGTGACCTTACAGGTCGAGCAAGAGGACGCGCGAGCCTGTTCATATGTCATGCTGAAGTCAAAGCCGTTGCCACCCATGATAGTGTGTACATGCCCAGATAATGTTCCAGGATTGACAATGGGATCGGCTCGTTCTACGGCCACGGGCCTTGAGCAGGGGATCTTGAAGAAGGCGGTAACATGACTGGCCATCCACGCGCCGCTGAGGAGCCACCTGGCAGTCTTCATGATCGGAAACTGTAGGGGCCAGGCAGTGAATTGGAAGTATGTGGGGTTCGAATTATAGAAGGGTGCGAGCCCAGGCGTTGGGATTTCAAACCGGCCAAATATCAAGTGAGTGTCAGTGAACTGAACAGCTGCAAGTGTCGGCTTATGCGAACAACGAAGTGACGATGACGATGTTGGCCCTTACCAAGGCAACGTGGACACGACCAGGTCTTTTTATCTTTTTCTCCCTCCAAGCAGACCTATGCTTCGCGACCACAGCCTCCGACGTGGATGACAGACTAGGCAAGACTCCAACGATAGGGCTCTTTCCATGACAGCCATAGCTTCACAGCTCCATCAGCCACCCGGCCCATTGTTTCCACTTTAAGCTATCGAGGAACAAGGCAAGTTGGACGCATGACGATTCGCCTCAACTTAGTCTGCAAGCGTTCCTAGCGAGGACTTGGTGGTGTCCACAGATTGCGAGCTGGGCTTGTCGGCGGCGCTCGTCGGAGGCGGGTTCGGGATGCTATGCAGGCAGAAGGACAGTCGCGATTTTAGCTGCCCATCGTCACGGACAGCGCATGCCATTTCAGCCTCAAACCGGACGTACTAATTGCCTGTCCTTCAGCTACATGTCTCTCTTACCACCACACGGTAGCGCAGATGTACCCGAGGGACGGGGGTTTGGGGGCGTCGCAAGATCTGACGCACGTCAAGATTCTGCGCGGTGGAAGATTCAGGCAATATCCGTACTTGGCTGGACCGAAACTCGAGACCATGGAACCAAGCTTCGGAGTTTGGATACTCGATGTCTTAGACAGCAGTGTCATCTGGGAATATTGTGGGGGGTCTGTTTGACTCAGCTTCGTCCGCACTTGCAAGCATCCGTCATCCGTCGGGGTCTCAGTCGGAATACACATTGCGTTTGAGGGCTTTCATTGAACAATTGACGGATTGGTACTAGGGGGACAGTTTGATGAACAAACGGAGAGCTCCCGAAAAGTTCCTTATGCCAAGGTACTCATACTAACCCAACTGGTCGGGCGATTGGAAACCCAGCAGCCGGTTACAAGGCCAATGGACGGGCGTGTGCTCAGCTGTCGAGACTTTTGGGAATCAATGAGAGACAGGTGGCGGGCCAGAACAGGCTCTTTGGCCCCCAATTGGGAAATTGCTGCTACGGTCTCGGTAAGTTGTCTCCTTGTCTTACTTGGCAAATTGCCCGACCTGTCCTCTGTTCCCGGAAAAAAAAAGGCGAGAGCTGAGAATGCTTTCATGTCCCCTTTCTCCTTAACCCCCGAGAGAACTCTAAAGAAGCAAGGCTGGTAGACCCATGCCTGGAAGAAAATACACGACCTGCGTGACCCAGCAGCGAAGGATGATGATCCACTTGCCGACACAGACAGATACTAACATGATGCTGCGTTTGACAGCAGCAAACTCTCGGGTATCGGAAACCTACAAACACACTCTGGCAGAAACTCCCCGACCCCGTGCCGTAGACGGAAGGTTTCGGTCATGGCGGGAGTGACGGCATTGGGAAAATCGTGGTGGGGCCGCAACGGACACACACCGTACCGCCGATACGGGCGTGTCAGTGGTGTCTCTGCGCAACTGATCAGGGTCTTCTACAACGTTGATTGGGGTTGGAGGAGTAAGACAAGATACCTCATCGTCTCTGGGCAATGAGGCTCAGCGAAACTTCTCTTTATCAATCGTTGTTTTAGCGCCTCGTCCGTCACCATGATCTAATTTATTTCGCCCGTTTCAACTGAATATCGCCGCTCGGTGAGCGAAGTAATTGTCGTGGGTTGTAGCGGGACTACTCTCCTGAGTTCTTACTGATGAATGCGCAGTTTTCTGAAAAAAGTCGTTCTCTTCCGCGCCTCCCGGTCATTTTCTGCATATGACCTACCTGGCAGCCGGTAGCGGGCAGGGTACATATCATATCACCACCAGAAAGCTACCATGTTCTTCGTGGCTCAGATAAAGCTCTGATCCGGCGCCGAATCTTGATCTTAGCTGCAATCCTAGTACGGTTGGGGATCACGTAACGACATCGCGCATCTCTTGAGTGCGGTCGGTCAACTGTATCTCGGGAACCCAGACGCGTCCATGGCCATTGTATCAGTCAAGGTACTGCAACAACTTAATAGCACAGGCCCCTAACATCAAGATTTGAGCAATCAAAGCCGATCCTCGGTCTATCAAGTCTCGCTTTGGAGCAGTCATTGTGATCAATCTTACAACATCACCCGTGAGGCATCCGTGCGGTTGTGGCCCATGTCGTTGCATCGCCAACCACAGACCAGATCTCCTGGTGAGATGGCGGCAGTTCGTTTGAGGTTTTCTCGGGGTCGGGCCCGGCAAATGTTGAAAGCTCTAAGATTTCATTACGCCCGCCTCCTCAAGCGCCCTGGCTCTCTTCTCATTATTGTTCTAGAAACAGTTGCGATTCATCCGTTCGTCTCGTCTGTAACTTGCGTGTGTTCCGGTTCCCCCAATTCCAAAAGCCCTAGTTATCTTCTTGCCAGCAGCTTTCCCTCTCGGCGTTCATACTGGGACGTACCAACCGTTGCCATACATCGCCATTTCCGTCAAGGGCGAGGTCGGTATCAGATCACCTCGAGGCTTTCGTTCCCTTCGTGGTGGCCATCGAGACCTTGAGAGCGTTGACACTCACACCATTTGCAAATCCATCAGAGTGAGGTACGCTGTTTTCTTTCGACCTACAGTGCCCTTCGATTCAATTTTCGTTTCAATTCACTGATTTGACACGGCCAGAAACATGTCTTCTTTCGACCCATTTCGGCAGACGTTCGAACTCGTCAAGGCAGATGGCAATATCATAAAGGTCGATGTCGCCGTTCTTGATTCCGCCAGTCAGGAGAATCTCGGAATCTGCACAAATTACGGTTCCCAAATCGGCGCGAGTTTCATGATGCTTCTGACTATCGTTGCCATGACACCATCGATCAAGCTCATCAAAGTTTCCCTCTGGATCCACATCCTTGCCCTCATTGCAAGCACCATTCGTATGACGCTGCTCGCTGTTTATTTCACCTCGAACTGGACCAACTTTTACGCTTACTGGGCCCAAGATTACTCTCGGATCACGGCTGGGGACTTCCATCGAAGCGTCGCAACGGAGACCATGTCCCTGATCCTACTGATTCTAGTCCAGGTATCGCTCGGTATCCAGGCCTGGGCTCTCGTCAACCTGCTGCCAGGATACTGGAAGTGGTTCTTCACGGGGCTTTCCTGTTTTGTGTCCACCGCTGCCATCGCTTGGCGTATAGCATTCAGTGTTATACAAGTCGAGGCCATCCTGCTCATTGCACTGCCCAACCCGGACTGGATCCGCTACCAAAGCACCATTATCGGCGCAGTTTCCGTATTCTATTATTGCGCTCTGTTCAACATCAAGCTTCTGATGCACTTGATCAAAAACCGTGGAATTCTTCCCACGAGACACGGACTAAACGCAATGGAGGTGTTGGTGATAACGAATGGTCTTCTCATGATGGTCCCAGGTAAGCTAGCTCGAGGGTTGCCACCTCAAGTACCCCGTCCTATCCCACAATTACCCGGAGAACCTGCTGACATGCCGAAACAGCAGTCTTCGCCGCACTATAATGGGGTCATTGGACCAATTTTGAGTCGGCTTCTGTCACGTACACGTCTGTGGTTGTGTTTCTCCCACTGGGAACCCTGGTTGCGTCTCGTAATTCAAGCAATACGTCGCAAGCCGAAGGTCAGAGAAGCTGCTGCACATGTTACAACACACCCTTGAGGCTGTGCTCTACGAGCGGGCTGTTCAACGAGCATGGAAGCGCACAAAGGGGCGTTGTTACCTCGCATATAGAATCGCTACGCCCGGGTGACCGAGGTGACTCGGTCGATCCGATTGATGCCGAGTTGCAGCGCATCGAAGACTGCGAGAAGGGAATTATTCGCGTCAACCGAATCGTTGAACTCCACGAGGAACGAGTGTGATGACAGACAGACCTGGATGTGGCTAAGCCTGGAGGAGGCAGCAGGCACTTCCAACGTGCCTGACGAACAAATGTTTGCGAATTTTCATCACAGGAAGTCGTTGGATCTCTACTACTTCATTTAATTAAGCAATGAGAAGGATGCCGTCTACTTTGTTACATACGCAACCCAGCTAGTGTCCAGCAATAGCAAGATCTGTCCTTCCATTGATTAATAAGTGAGAACATTTGCTCTTGCCTCACTAAGCGTCCAGCCACAACGAAGGTCCGACAGAGGGTCAAGATCTGTCGCGGAAAGAGGAGATGGCGAGTCGCCGATGCGGCCGACACGCGACACCTCCTTGGCTTATGCTTTCTGAACTCCAGCATACTTTTCCAGTCCAATGGACTCGTGAAGCCCCGAAAACTACCTGCCGCATCTTTGTCTGCCCGGCTTGCACCAGAAACTTCGCTACCATGAATGGAGAACCTAAGGTCCCGTTCGTTCAGACAGGGGACCAGGAAACTGAAGAGGTTGGATATGATCTGAGGCCCGCACCCCTTCGACTGCTTCCCAGGAGCAGGGATGCGCATGCACCTCGACTATCAGAGAACCATCATAGCCAACAGAATATGGCGCCTGCGGAGTATGGCGGCGAAGTAAAGTCATCCAAAATCTCGCCAGCTTGTGGTCTTGCTGCTATTGTATCTAAGTTCGAGATTCTCGAGGCTATGACCAACCTGGAGAAGCCCGCGATATCGACTACTGTAACGGCAGGTCCCAAAACATCTCGCAAGATACCTCGACATCATTCGAAGCACATGATGGGCGAGAAAATGGATCCAAGTCTGGAGTCTAGCCAGTTCTCGTCTGGCGATGTATCCGCCCCTAAACGGCATAATCATTCCCAGGAGAGACAGTGGCTGCCAGATACTTCCACTTCTACAATGGTCAGTACCAGATCCAGGGACAAAGAGCCAAGCACCGCGGGAGGAATCGCGACGGGGAGTATGCACAACATTGTAGCAGAGAGGCGGCAGATTTTCGAGCCTCGGACAGGTAAGATAATCGATTTTTCATGCTTCGGAAGACGATGACATTTACTGACATGGGCATAGGATGTCATACTATGCCTAGCAAGTCTGCAAGCATGCCTTTCAGCCTGCATGGCACTAGCCTCTCAGGGTCAAGCCCGCCGTTGACAACGGAGCTACGGCGATCCAAGACATATTGGACCACAGCAATGGAGTCAGACAGCCTCTCGGAAGCTTCGAAATCCCAGATTGGGAGTCAAACTGGACTTCGAAATACAAATAATCAAGATCCTGCAGGGGCAGCCTCGATAAATTCAGGGGAACAAACCGCAGCTACAGTAGATGTACACGCCGGCGGCCACGATCCGCTTCTTATGCATCGCAGTGAAGCCCGCAGAGAAGCAGAATCCAACACCATAGGCAACGCCGCCGCGGCGTATCCCAACTTCAGGGGAACAGTGATGAAGACTGTCCAGAGCCGGGTCACTAATCTACGGAGCCTCTTTAACATGACTGCCAAGGAAGATGACGAGCCGCAACCCAACTTGTGTCTGAAGCGCCGCCACACTGGACCACAGAGAAACCGTTCCATGAATCGGTCTCATGCGCCAATTAATTCATTCGACTACGATCGCGAATTCAGGCTGGGTTGCATGATTGATTCGCCTGACTCGCCGCGGTGTTTGCGGGAATATCAGAGTGCCCGGGTCTCCAGAGATTCGACGCGATCCTCGCTGAAAGATGATATCAGCGCCTTCGAGTCGCTCTCTCACTCTAGGCTCGAAATATCGGAGCCGAAACGGGGAACCCCGAGTAAATTACAGTTGACTCCTGCGCGCAACGACGAAAGAGAAGAGCACTCAGAGAAGCGTCCCGTTAGTCGGCGATTCGAATTTGAAAGCCTAGGTTTCAAGCAAGGTCGGGAGGTCTGGAGGAAACTATCAGCATCCTGGAACAAAAGAAAGCCAGCTGATGACGGCCTCGACAAGCACGAAGACAGGCATGGCACGATCGCCGCTTCTCCAGGCCTGCCAACGACTCTTCGACCACAGGAAGGGGAAAATACAACGGGTCGCAGGCTCGGCTCTTGGCTCCCAAAAATGGCCAACAGTGCCCAAGATGAGACGTTGATCTCTGCTGCAAGCCCGAATTCGACGAGAGCATGGCAGCCAGACCTTCCTGCGCGAAAAAACATGCCTGCAATAGCCATAGAACAAGACGGCGAAGTGGCGATTTTGAAACTCAAAAGCGTTCCATGCAAGGAGCAATTGGGCAATCTCCCAGCATGCACAACGGGACCGATCATCGAGAGGACCGGTATCTCTGCTGAGCTACCCGCTCGCCCTGTTTGCGGTTCAAGATAGGACGTGAGGTCCACGTGCGGGAAAACTCCAACGAGGGAGGATGACCAGCGGCACCCGTGGAGAAACTCGTCGTAGCCAAGGCTGGATGGGGTCTCCCAAGCAGATGATCCCCATCAGTGGATGAGATGCAGAACGCGATCAATCTTGATGAGGAGACTGGTAGCATCGACAGAGCTGGAGCAACGTAACGCATGCATATTCAGGCATTTCTAAGTTGGGCAGGAAATTGCCTATGGGCGTATTACATGTTGGACTGACAGTAACGCGCCTCCACGCCTCCAAGTGAGATGGGCCCGTAGGGACCACCGAGATTTTGTGGTGTTTGCGCTCTTGGAAGTCGATGTGCGGCATAACTACTGGTTGAATGGCACGAGGCACCGAACGAGTTGGGGGCGGGGGATAGGTGTCCTTGGTGTGATTCGTGACGACAGGCGTCAAAATTATATTTGATGCAGGAACAAGAGCATTATAGTCTGGCTATGCTGCTAGTCCCATCCCTTTTCCTATCTTGCGCACCAGTGCTTTCTTCAAGTACCACTCTCTTGCCAAAGAGCGAGTTGTCTTGGCAAAGACTGCAGGTGATATACGGCCACGCTCAACAGCACGGCCTAAGACAAATATGGTATCACCTATAGCCTTTTCTTCGGCCACAAGATTGTACAGCTGATTGGCTACAATGGTGGGAGCTACTAGCAGCTCATCAATATCCGGGGCCGTTTGACGAGTGGAGCCTTCAACAACGGTGTCGGCCTTCCGTAAAGCCTCCACAAGGATATTTGCGTTAGACTGAAGCAGGGCTGATGTCTGGCTGATGGTGCCCATCTCGGACTGGAGTGTTGAGAAGGCGTTCAGCATGGCTGTGCGTTGCGCTTGAAGGCCCGCCATGCTGTTCTCGTTCTGCTGGCGACTCCGTTGGCGTAGAGAATGGAGCGTTTGAGCCAGCTGATGCAAAAGTGCGTCCTTTTCCGGGTTTGGAGGGATTGGTGGCGCGGATACAGAGGATGGAGACGGAATGCTGAGGGTGAGAGGTTCATCGAGCAGATCTGGAGGGGGTGCCGCCTTGGGTGCTTGCTGCTGCAGTGGCGGGTGCTGTTGTGGGTGCTGTTGCGGCAGCGGTTGGTGTTGTCCGAGAGCCGGTTGCCAGCCCGGGGGAGGCCCACTATAATGCTGGGCGGGCTGCGAAGGAGGCGGGACGGGTGCAGAATACTGATGATTCGAAATGGATGACTGGCTTTGGGTCACGTCAGGGCGTGTCTGCTGCGGCGGCTGAGGTGGGAGCTCGCCCGTTGATCGCGGAGACGGCGCCACAGCGTTATGCGGGTGTTGAGGGATGGCGGCTGGCGGTAGAGGTGGTGCAGAATCATAGCGAGAATAGCCTTGGCTCTGGGGCTGCTCCGGCTGCTTTCCATGGAGGGCTGTGCGGTCAACGCCCGGTGGTAGAGGTGGAAGAGGAGGGCCGCTTCTAGCATCCAAAGGAGGTGGAGGGCTGCGGTAAGGTGGCCCAGTGCCAGAAGGTTTGGGCGGCGGTGGAGGTGGTTGTGAATTGCTTACGGGCGTCTGCGTCGTCGGACGATGGGTTGCATGAGAAGGTAGGTCTGACGGCAGTGGGGGAACGGGCGGTGGTGTTTGGCCGTGGGACTGCGAAGGGGAGGCAGAAATGAGAGGCGGCTGCCTTTCTCGGGGACGAGCAATGACGGGGGGTTCCTTGGCAAATATATCTCGGAGAATCGCTAGGAAGTCAAGAATGGTCGATTTCTGGAGGGCGAAGTGTCAGAAAGGCTGAGAAGGTAAGTGAGCAGGGAGGATGGATACACATACATCCCAGAACGCGGACCAGCCCACCAGGTAAGGGTGATAGACCTGGCCTTGAGGATCTACATGTTGGCCAGGACGAACCATCATGGACTCGGTGGGGGTCACGTAGACCAAAGGGGCCTCTCGGGGATATGCGTGCGGAACCCATACTGAGATGGGGAATCGATATGTCGTGCCTCTGAAGATGACCGGTACTGTGCCGGTGAGGTGGAGGAGAAGGGCGGAGATACCGGTGTCGAAAGCTGGATGCGGTGTCAGAATCGACTGTGTGAGGCCGATGACGATCGATGAAGAGGCGACAAAGAAGGAGTAGAGGGGTCATACTGTGAACATCGGTTCGCGGTGACAGCGATGGGTACTGCGACAGAGCTTGGGCGACATCGTTGTATGTGCGGTTTACGTCATGGTACTCCTGTGATGGAACGGGTTAGCAAAGACATAACGGGGAACGCGACGGGGCAAGGCGTCGTGTACGCTTGTGAGAACACTATAGAGCCAGTTCAAAACGTGCTGTTGAACAGGCATGGTGATGTTCTAAAGGAGAGATCTGGCAGAAGAGGCGAAGGTGTTCAGGCAACAACGCGGAGAGCGGGGGCAGCGGGGGAATGCGAACGGTGACAATGCATGTCGGGAGCGGTGCGAGTGCACCGCGAGGCGTGTTGAGACGGCCGGAACAGGCGGTCGACGGTCGGCGGACGGGTAGGGCGGAGGGGGGTGGAGGGGCGGAAGGAAGAAGCGGCAGGTGGTCGTTGGGAGATTCCGATGTTGACCTTGCCCGGGATCGGGGGAGAGATGACGCAGCTTAGCTCCGTACCGAGTGTTCGTAGGTTCTTTAAGTGGACAAGCGTAGAGGAAGCACCTTAGGCGCCTTACCTAATACTACCCATACCTAGCCTGTGTGGCAGGGATCCTTGCTGCCTTTGGGACCTTGATGGATGTACTAAGTATTGTTGGATGTAGACCCGACTCGGAATGACTTTCCTGTTGTCCCCCACCCTCCAAAATGACAAAGTGCCATCAATACTGACGTATGTGTTAAGCCTTCTGAGATCAACTTATGACGATAATTGTCTGCAATGCCTCCTTTATTGAGTTTGTAGTTACGACGCGGCCTGCCGCAAAAAGACTACAGCACAATTCACCCTACACGCGGGCACAATTCTGGAAACACCATATAGGCACTTTGACCTATGCCCTCTACCGGTTAAGGAAAACAGTATAGAAGCCCTATACGTTCCTACTGGCAGGCAAACCCTCTGAACATCATAAAGTCGAATGCGCGCCCTGGCCGAATAGACCGGCGGAACAGTAACAACGCCGGCCGCGCGGCGCGGGATGCCTCGATTATAGCAAAGCCAACAGCAAATCTAACGTGGAACGCAGGGGGGGGGGGCTTTGATGGCATACTTGATGGACTATGCAACACCCGCTGTACCGGCCGGCCTCGGAGGCACCAGGGTAAAGCTGGATGGGACAGTCCTACAGTGGTTGGGTCATGCAAGCATCGGATGATATGGATGGATGCATAACTTCGATGAGTTGGAATTCTTCCACTTAGGATTGTCCGGTGGTCCCGGTTCCGGCTGCTTTCTCATTTGTTCCCGTCCTGCTCTTTCCCCCTTCTCCAATCCTTCCGCCCCTCTGAATGCTCTAGTTCCTAAGGCAGGTCCAGTGCGCTACGATTAATCCCGACCCATTTCCCTCCTGGGTTTGTAAGCTAAGAAAAGCAGAATGGGATCTGGTTGACAGGAGTCGTGGCCACCATTTCGCCCGCTACCTGACTGCGCTCCAAAGTCGGCAGATGACACTTGTGATTGCTTTGTTTGCTGCATTGCCAACTTGCAGCGCAATCCCACGTCTACGATCGGACGTTGCCGAATGTACCCCGCTAATCCGCAAAATGTAAATAATGTACCGTCTACGTTTCACCTTGAGCGCTAGCCCCTCCCAAGGTAACAAAAATGTCATGTGTAAATCACTCAGCCTAAGCTAATGACTTACTATGGTACTTCTCCAAAACAATGTTTTAGTGTACGTACCGTGGATGCTGCCAGTCAGTTGTGGTCTCGAGGGAAGACCCTGGCCTTTTTTTTTCTTTTTTTCTCTGTTTTCCTCCCCCTTCCCTTCGTCCTTCGTCCAATCCCACTCAACAGAACGGGGACTGTTGCGCGCATTAATAAACGTCCTCTCTCGCAACTATTCTTTGCTTTCTTACACTCCTACTCTCCAAGTTCGATATCTATGCTACTTCCCAGGTGTCTTTGTAACCCTACTCCGTTTCCCGATTGAATGCTCGCAACACCAAGGATCTTTCGCACGGCTGAGGAGTATTCCAGAGCCATTATCTGGATACTCCTTGCGTCAGGACCTTGTTAAAATACTGTCTCGCAAACACGCCACCATCAACTTTGCATTTTGCCTCCAGATAAGCCGCGCAGCTTTCTCGACACTCAATTTGCTAACTCTGAGCGTACGACGTGACGACTCAGTCAGTTTCTATCACACTTTCCATCTCTCCTGCACCCGACAGCTAAACCGCCGGCATTCATTATGCTTCCACCCATTCCCGTCTTGTCCGATTACGGAATCTCGCCAAAACATGGATTCCTTCCGGACGTTCTGCCGTTGACCCGACTGCCAGATCCCTACTATAATAAGTGGGAGGCAGTTGTTGCCAACCTTCAGGCTCTGGTTCTAAGCCGTCGCCTTCGCCCGGTTGTCGACCGCTTGCCAGTCCTCTCCACCATCGGTCTGGAACATGACGCAGAATGGCGGAGAGCCTACTCTCTGCTGTGCTTCATGGCACATGCGTACGTTTGGGGTGGCGATGAACCATGCGACCAGCTGCCCCCGGCTATTACCATCCCGCTCCTTGAGATTTCCGATCATCTGGAGCTACCTCCCGTAGCCACCTACGCCGCCCTCTGTCTGTGGAACTTCAAGCCTCTTTTCGTCGACGAAGACATCGATAATCTCGAGAACCTAGCCACCCTAAACACCTTCACCGGTTCGCTCGATGAATCCTGGTTCTACCTTGTCTCCGTGGCTATTGAAGCTCGCGGCGCTCCAATCATCCCACTCATGCTGGATGCTGTTGCTGCCGCTCGCCAAGACGATACTGCCACTGTCACTCATAGCCTGCGTGCTTTTGCGGAACGCATGACAGATTTGACCAATATCTTGCAGCGCATGCATGAAAGCTGCGATCCCAACATTTTCTACAATCGCATCCGAATATTTCTCGCAGGCAGCAAAAACATGGCTGAGGCTGGGCTTCCAGACGGTGTCAACTACGCCGACGGCTCCGGCGAAGAGGATTATCGCCAGTACAGTGGCGGTAGCAATGCACAGAGCAGTCTGATTCAGTTCTTTGACGTCATCCTTGGAGTTGACCATCGTCCGACTGGCGAGAAGCGTGATCCCTTCTCCGAGTCGGAGCGTGAGTCTCGAGCTCCTGTTCCGCAGCACAACTTCATCATGGAAATGCGTCGCTATATGCCAGGCCCGCATGCACGTTTTCTCAAAGATGTCGCCGGTGTCGCCAATATCCGCGAGTTTGTTGAAAGTCATAAACAAGATCGCCAGCTTTGTCTGGCTTATGATGCTTGTCTGGCGATGCTAAGTGCGTTCCGTGATAAGCACATTGCCATCGTCACTCGCTACATCATTCTACCCTCGCGAGAGGTGCGCGCCCGAAGCAGGTCGAGAAGCCCTGAGGCCGCACGCCAGCGAATGAACTTGGCCGTCGCTTCGCGGCAGCGCCAATCTAATGCTCAGGAAAACAATCTAGAAGCTATCAGGAAGAAGAAGAATTTGACAGGCACTGGCGGAACTGCCCTCATCCCCTTCTTGAAACAGGCGCGAGATGAGACTGGTGAGCCGGCCATCGAGGAATGGACTCGCCGCTTTATGAAGAGGACGAACAAGCCGGAAGGCAAGGGAGACTTCTTCCTGGGCAAGTCAGACTTGCCTGGTTCCAGCGTCGAAGTTGAGGTCAGCGGTCTGGCCGGTACCTGGACTGTCGATGACGATATTGGCGGCATTTGTCACTACTGACATGACTGCCTTGCCGTGGACAACGGTTGGCGTGAAACCCAACGCGTTGCCATGGCTAGGTTTATGTAGTACCTCTTGAGGACTTGAATTCACGTTATACTCGTCGCATTAAACTCCATCGCCCAGACTGTGATGTTTATCGTGGCGACCTGGTCTTTCCGTCCTCGTTGCACTCGCTCATGAAGCCTGTGCGGTGCCATACATACTTTCTGCCAACAACTGTGCCGGATGACGTTGCGAGTAAATGGTGCGGAGAAAAGCATGTCTGTTTCTGTTGGCGCACGGTGTCAAAGTTCTGGAGACTCTTGCATGGCTTTGGGCTAAGCAGGCCTTCAAAGATCTTGTTACGACCGAAGCACCTTGTTGTGGCCAGCCCGTCAGGCCAGACATGGGACAAAAGCATCGAAACTTGTGACGTTCGAATACTCATTTCGACTACTGACGGCGCCCTTGGATTGCCAAGAAGGATGACGCAGAATCATAGATATTGTGCTGAGTGCACTTAGAATAATGTGCAAACTATGAATACCTACCATACTTATCCGGAATGGGCAGCAGCTTCTCTCACAGTCCGTGACATCGAAAAGCTCGGAACTGTCTAGATTCGCTTATGCATCTTTGTAGCCATTCCCACACACAGGTACCACAACAGCGCGGAACGATCTTGATGCCAATACTTTGTGACAGCGTCACATGCACATGGGGAGAGAGTGAAGTGAAACTGTGATCTTCTGGTCGACTGACACTTGTAAGAACCAACTTGACAGTGGCTTTGGCATAATGACCAAGGGATGATCTGGGCAAAACTCATTTAAATTGATGCGACCATTGACGGATCATTGAAAGCCCCTATTCTTCGTTAGGCAGTACAGCTACGGGCAGCCATTTCGCTCTCATAGTCACTCTCGAGTTGAAATTCGACACGGGAGTCATGATAGTCGCGAGTGAGCACAACGAAAATTAAGTCATGACGCCATTCCTCTATCAGTCTAATCAGCCCTCTCAGCATCAGCGCCTTCTATCTCGAATGAGCGCGTCATTCCGGGCGGCGGCGGCGGCGGCGGTCAAGTCCTGTTCGCGCAGTATGAACTTCACACTGTTCCGCGACAGCAACGATGTGGAGGCGAGAGGGCTGGTGGTGCTGGTAGCTGCATCTGAGTCAGATAAGCCACGTGATTGAGGAGCTCTTGTGGACCCCTACAAAAGGTACCTAGGTAGCTCACTGGGCGGCGACGGTGCCTGCCTCAGTAGCAGTAAAGTCGGCTACCTAGTCCTGAAAAAGCCTAGCGCGCCCCCTACCGCGTTCCGAGGACTTTGAGGCTACCCATCTACGTCTTCTGCCTGCGACGGGCCTGAAAAAAAACACCACCCAGCGAGGCTGCTCTTGCTCTGTCTCGACCAACAACGAAATAACAACGACCACAACCCGCCTGCGTCGCGATCCATCGTACTCACACGCCCTTGAAGCA